CTCTCTCTCTCTCTCTCTCTCTCTCTCTCTCTCTCTCTCTCTCTCTCCCCTCTTCCTGTGTCTCTTCCTCTGTCTCTGTCCCTGATCTTGATCTTTTCTCCCCCTCTTCCTTTTGCCTCATTGCCCCTTTTCACCCATCCTCCCTGCACATTATATCTATTGTCCAACTCTGGGTCTGAACTCCTCCCTGCTTCCCTCACCCCCCACTGCCACTTCTCCGGGGAGGAAAATGGAGGCCAACGGAGGGAAAGGGACTAGGTCATACAGAGAGGTGGGCTCCCAACCCTCAATCTAGGGCTATTCCCATTCCCTTTTCCAGAGAGAAAAGTCCCCCCAGACCCCCAGAGAGCCCCTATTGGGGGCCTCAAATTTAGTGAAGAAAACAGAGTGGGGGGACCTCGGGCAAATCCTTTCCCTTCTCTTCAACCTTAGTATCCCTCTCTGTGAATTGTGTGTGTGGGGAGATCTCTCTGGTCCCTCCCAACTTGAGCGCTCTATGATGCTAGGTTGTGGACGCCCCCAGGGTAACTGCTCCCCTGCCTCTCATGCACACTCCTACATCCCTTTTCCCTCTGTCTCTGGGACTCTAGCCTCTTACCAGGCCAGAGAAAGAGGTCGGTCAGTGGGCTGCTCTTTTGCAAGTGGCCAGAACTGACTCCTCCATCCGAGTGAAGGAGAGGGAAGAGGGACCCAGTGAGACGTGGGCCTCCCCACCACTAATCTCCATCTCCCCCCTCCCCAGGGCTGAAGCGGGGTGTCTGTGTGAAGATTAATCATTTCCCAGAAGACACAGATTACGACCATGACAGTGCAGAGTACCTACTCCGTAAGTGGGGGCTGGGAATTGGGGGTGGGACTTGCCTCCCCAACTCAGAGGGTGGAGCCCAAATGCTCATCTTTGAAGCCCATTGGCTGCGATCCCCTGGCTTTTGATTGGCTGTGGAGACTCTTCCATGGGAACGGAGCTCAGGGAGAATCTGATATTCTGATCAGTCAGCCTTGGAATCCAGAACTGGGATCGGCCCCTCTCATTGGGATGTAGAGGACTCCCAGGAGGCACTAAGTTCTGATTGGCTCCTTCTTCCTCAGAGTTGATCACGAATCTGAGAAATTGGTCCTGGGCCTTGGGAACAGGAAAGTGGGGAGAAGGGGAGGGGGGAGGGAGGGGCTGCGTCTGACCTCGCCCTGGTTCTCTGCCAGGTGTGGTCCGAGCATCCAGCATCTTCCCCATTCTCAGCGCCATCCTTCTGTTGCTGGGGGGCGTGTGTGTGGCTGCGTCTCGAGTCTACAAGTCCAAGAGGAACATCATCCTGGGGGCTGGTATCCTGTTTGTAGCCGCTGGTGAGGGCTGAAAGAAGGGGGGAAAGGGGAAGGAACCTGGAAGACAGGAGAGGGGAGGGAGACGTAGAATCTCAGAATGAGGTACCAACCCCATTTCACTGAGGGAGGATGTTGGAAGCCTCGTTCAAGGTCATGTCTAGGTCAAGGGCAGAACCCTTTAGGGTTGGGACCTCAGAGAGAGGAGGAGTTCAGAAGGAAGAGAAGGGTCCTGGAGAGGCGGGAGTTTAAAAGAAAGAGGAGGAGGAGGGCGAGAGGGAGGGCCTTAGACAAGAAGGGGGGAGTTTGGGAAGAGAGAGGTTAGGGACTGGGATAGAGGCAGGGATTTAGCGCGAAAGGAGAGAGAGCTGAGGATGGGCAAGAATTAGGGAAAAGGAGAGGAGTTTAGAAAGGGAGGAGCTTGGAAGAGGTGGCTTGACAGGAGGCGAGGGGACCTGAGAAAGGGGAGGGTCTTAGAAAAAAGAGGAGGAGCTAGACTCAAGGGGAAGGCGGAGCTTAATAGAGGAAGGCGGGGCTTAACCGGCATGGGGAGAGGTGTAGGAAAACGTGGAAGGGCGGGGCTTAGACGAAGAGGCGGGGCTCAGAAGGTGAGTTTAGAGGAAGGAAAGAGGGTGGGGCCTATGGAAGGCCGGACGGAGAGGGGAGGGGCTTAGAAAGAGGAAACTTTGGCACTTCGGGGAACTGGAGAGACTTAGACGGGTGGGAGGGGATGGGCGGCAAGGAGGCGGGGCTCAGGGCAGGGAGGACAGCTGTCCAGCGGCAGCCGCCGTCGTCGAGGCTGGCTCGGGCTGACAGTCGCGCCCCCCCCCCCCCCCGCCCCGTCCCCCGTGTTGTGTGTCTCTCTGTCCGCCCGCTCGTCCGTCCTGCCGTCCATCCGACCGTCGGTCCGTCGCGGCCGGCCAGGCCTCAGCAACATCATCGGCGTGATCGTGTACATCTCGGCGAACGCGGGCGAGCCGGGCCCCAAGCGCGACGACGAGAAGAAGAGCCATTATTCGTACGGCTGGTCCTTCTACTTCGGGGGGCTCTCCTTCATCCTGGCCGAGATGATAGGCGTGCTCGCCGTGAACATCTACATCGAGAGGAACCGCGAGGCGCACTGCCAGTCACGCGCGGACCTCCTCAAGCCCGGCGGCCGGGCCGGGGGCGGCGGCGGCAGCGGCGGCGGGGGCGGGGGTCCCCCGTCGGCCATCCTCCGCCTGCCCAGCTACCGCTTCCGCTACCGCCGCCGCTCGCGCTCCAGCTCCCGCTCGAGCGAGCCCTCGCCCTCCCGGGACACGTCTCCCCAAGGCTTCCCCTCCACGGACATCTCCATGTACACGCTGAGCCGCGACCCGTCCAAAGGCAGCGTGGGCGCCGGGCTCGGGGGGCCGCCCGGAGGCGCCGCCGGCGGCGGCGGCGGCGGCAGCGGCGGGGGCGGGGGCGGAGCGGGGGGTCCGTACGGGACGGCTGAGCGGGAACGATCCGGTTCGGGCTTCCTGACGCTGCACAACGCCTTCCCCAAGGAAGCCAGCGGGGTGACGGTGACCGTGACCGGTCCGGGCTCCGCCCCCGGGGCCGCCGGGACCCTGAGCAAAGAGGCGGCAGCGAGTGGGGCATCTAACACCAACACCCTGAACAGGAAAACCACGCCGGTGTAGGGGCTGGGCCGGCTGGGGGGTGGGGGGTCTTACCTGGCCCGGCAGAGGGACCACAGGGGACCCCTGACAAATAGAAAGAGAAGTCCAGACCGTGTGGCTGAGGATTGGCAGAGACCTAGAGACAGTGAGAGACAGAAGGTGGACAGAGAGAGCCTGAGAGAAGGAAGAGAGCCATGGGGAAATAGAGGCACAAAGAGGGGGAGACTGCAGACAGAGACGGAGCAGACATTTACATGTACCCACAATGCCACGCATGTCTCTCTGTCATAGAGACAGAGGCCAGGAGATGCTGGGACACAGAAGGAAAAACAAAGAAACCCAGCGTGTGGAATCCCTAGTGCTTAGCACAGTGCCTGGCGCACACCGTAGGAGCTTGAAATGTTTATTGTCTGACTGTGTGGACAGATGAAAGAGAAAGAGAAGGACTCACGGAAGGGCAGGCAAGAGAACCAAAAAGGACAAGGGAACAGAGAGGAGATGTGAAGACAATGAGTGTCTAGAGACAGGGAGAGAGTGAACTAGTAAGACAAGTGATACAGAGGAACAGACATTAATAATAAAAACAAAATTAACATAAAACTAATAAAAACCCAAAAGAATGTAGAGACAGAAGGAAGACAGACAGCTATGTGTACATCTCTGTCTCTTTCTCTATGTATACATATATGTCATCAAATACAGACGATGTGAGCACAGAGATGTGGAAATGGAGAGACACAAAGACAGACAAAGGTACAGACGGACAGAGGTCTGTATCAACCAACAAATACACGTTATCTCTGGACACAGAGACATTGAGCCAGAGATCAGGGGACCCAGGGAGAAGGAGGGATAGAAATATGGAAGCTGGGAGGGAGAGATGGGTGGATGGAGACAGAGAACTAATGGATACAAGAGACATGCTGAAGGACCATGGCAGAGCCCAGGCCAGAGGAGTCAGGGACAGGTCAGGCCAAGCTTCATCTGGTCAGCCATTGTTACTTGGAGACAGGATCCAAGATCTGCCTCCATCCCTGCCTCTCTGATGGGCCTGGTTCTGGCTCCTTGTCCCGCTGAGGCCCTAGTCCTGGTTCCCACCTGGGGCTGCAGGCTCGGGGCTGAGGCTGCATGGACCACCCGGTAAGGGTGTCCCGTCTAATAAAGGTGATGATGACAACAGTGTGGGCTGTCATTTCAACACCCCCAGCTTTATCCCCCCCATAGGGGAAGCCCAGATATCATCTCTCCCTACCTCGGAAGGACCCAGGCATCCCTTTCCCCCAGTCCCTGCCCTCTCAAGAACCCAGGCATCCAGGCTCCAGCTCCTCCCACCCTCAGCCTCCCTCCACTTGTTCCCTTAAAATACCCACAACAGGTGCGGGTGTTACTTACATGGAGGGGCCCAAAATAGCCCCAGAGGCCCTGGTCAGGGGGAGGGCCGCCTGTCTGTCTGTGTGGGTCAGGCGAGAGGCCACAGCCAGAACAGAGAATGCTGGGTGCAGTGGTGCTGGTGACCCTGGCCAGCCAAGCAGAGGAGTGGGGCTGGGGGCTGGGGACCAGGGGCCGAGCCTAAGCCTGAGCCTGGAGGCCCAGCTGGCCACCTGGGGCCTGGGGGAGCCCACCGGACCCTTTCTCCCCCAGCCGCCATGATGTGGTCTAACTTTTTCATCCAGGAGGAGGAAAGACGCCGGGCCGACACAGTACGGAGGAGAGCCCAGAGGACTGGCCTGGCCCGTGAGCGCCGTGGCCCCATCAAGCTGGCCCTGCTGCTGGCCGGTATGGGCACAGCCCTGGCGGTACTGGCTGTGGGCACCGAGTTCTGGGTGGAGCTGGGCACCAAACGGGGCAATGGCACAAGTGGTGTGTGTGAAGCTGCCCACCTCGGGTTGTGGCGAGTGTGTGCCAAGAGGCTCTGGTTGGAAGACCTGCCCCCCAACAGGGAGACCTGTGGCCCTGCTGAGTTACCTGGAGGTGAGGACCACTGGTGCTCCCACTGGTGAGAAGGGAGAAGGGAGCGAGAAGCAGGAAAAGGGACTGTGGGCTCAGGGCAGGCAGCTAGGCCAGCCCCCTCCTTTTACAGAGAGGAGAACAGGCTCAAAAAAAAAAAAAAAACCAGCGGCTCACAAGTAGTGAGAAAGTGAGTCAGAGACACAGAGAGATAGAGCTAGAGACTGAGACACAGAGAGGCAGAGATGTGGAGAACTCTAGGAAACAGAGAGATGGTCTGAACTTCTGACTGATTGGACAACGTGATGAAACTACCCAGACTTGTCTGGGAGTACAGCCTAGGACTTCCAACTGCTCTGAGGAAAGGTGGAGACAGTTAAGACGTCTGACCACCGCCTGAGAGACATAGAGACAGGCCAGCTTTCTGACTTAACAGCTCACGGGGAAAGAGATGATGATTTCAGACTGCCCAGACAGGATTGTGAGATGCCTTCATGTCCTAGGGAGACACGATGGGACAATGCATGCTGTCCTAGGGAGATGTGGAGACGGACCTAGGGCGCAGGCTGCCCTGTGGGAGACTCAGACATAACCCAGAAAGCCCTAGGGGGCTATAGAGACAGGCAAGCTCTCCGGCTTCCTGGGGAGACTGAAACGCTGCCACCACCGCTGCCTGCCCAGGAGAAGCAGTCTGAAGTGGCCTGGAAAGACAGCCTGGCCCTCTGACTCTCACACATCCCCCGACCCCTGGAGCAATCCAAATGGTCCAGATGTCTGATCTCTCCGGGAAGATGTGGTAGAAAGAACCCAGAACTCTGAGAAAGGATGATGGCCCAGACTCCTGATGGCAGAGGGAGAATGTAGGGACTGCCCAAACCTGACCTCCTGGGGACATAAGTATCGGGGCCAGACCTCTGACCACCTTAGGAGAGAAGGAGAGATGGCCCAGACTTCTGAGCTCTCCAGAGATATGGTGAGCCCAGACCTTTGGCCCCACCGGGAGCCTGTAGAGACAGCTAATACCTCTGACCTCCTGGGGAATCAGGCATGCAGCCCAGATCTTGGCTTGCCTGGGGAGAGATGGGCATGACCCAGCCCTCTGAGTTCCACTGGAGACGACGAAGAGACAGTCCATACCTCTAAAGCCTACAGGGAGGCGTGGGTCAGAGCCCAGACCTCCGGCTGGATCAGAGACAGCCCAGACCCCTCGCTACCCCTAGAGAAACAGAGAGGAGTCCCTGACTTCTCATTGTCCCAGGGACATGTAGGGATGCTTAACTCTTTGGACCTCTTGGAGAAGGGGACACAGCTGCCCAGACTTTGGACTGCCTTAGAGAGAGACAGATAAGATCTAGGGGCCATAGTTCCCCAGGGAGGCATGGATATTGATCCAGGCCTCAGACTGCCCCAGGAAGACAGACTGGACCCCGGGACAGACTTCAGGGGA